TGTTCAGTTTCTCACGATCTACTCACAGACAGATCATTCTACTGACATAGCTCCCTCCAAGGGAACGAGGGGCAAGGCCTAGATCATTTACATTATTTACTCTCCCTTCTGCTCTCCAGATCTGCTCTCAACCCTTCCAGGGCTGCAGGCCCTAGAAGACTGATTTCAAAGACTACAGCCAGCATGTTGGTTCCCTACCCCTCAGCCCTCGGCTTGGGTCAGTTAGAGGAGACACAGGCAGACAATCACAGGACAGGTTGGCCAGGACATTTATACCTGCAGTTGCCTTGCTGCTGCACTGTTCCTCTGCTTCTGCTTAAGAGTCCTCTCCATTCATCTGCTCTCTCTGGGCTCCAGTGACCACTTCTTCCTTTCTCCTCCAGGCCTCAGGTGTCTGTCAGGACTCTACTGAACCCGGGAGCCATTCTGAGTTGCTTTCTTTTGTTGGTGTCTGGATTTGTTCTATCCTCATCTAGGCCTACTACTGAAGTATTCCTTTTTGGGTGCTGCTACCTTTCCCTTTGTGACAATTCACATTCACATTCACAATGCTGAGTTTCTTGACTCATTAAAAATCACACAGAAAATACAGGAAAGTGTGGTTTAGTTATAATTCTACCCCTACCCTGAACATACGTACATATAACCACTCCAAAACCATGAAAGTGATATATGGATCACATCCAGAGAAACAAGGTCAAAATAGGTGACGTAAAAATTGAATGCTGTCTCCCAATGCTTCTGCATTCTTTCCCTTCACTTCATTCTCCACTTCTCCCTTCAGTGAGGATTGTTGACAGCCTAGCCAGTCTTTTCCACAGCTGTATCCATGATGTGCAAACCCACATTAAACATAGATATTCATATTCGGGTAGAAATGACACTTGCTTCATAAAAATTGAAAGAATTCTATATATTACTTTACAATGATGGATATGTCTAGATCAATAACTCAAACAGCCTCATAATATTACAGAGCACAAATGTACAATAATTTATTTAACCATTTCTCTAGTGATGAACACTCAATTCTTTCCCAGCATTTTCAAACAATGTTGCAGTGAACATCCACATGCATGTGTCCTTATTGGTACACATATTCATGTAACCAAATTCCTAAAAATGAGATCACTAAGTCGGTTTTCTATAGTTTCAATCAGGATCCATTGATGGTTTCTGTCGATTTAATTTCTATATATCATTTTATATACAGGGTGTAATATAAGGTACACAGTTTTTGAAACCCTTTTCCCCACTTAATAATTACAGACATTTTTCAATGTACGACATACTTTATGAAGTAATCCAAATGGTTGCATATATCCATTAATATTGCAAATTCAATTTTATGTGTATTGCATCTGTCAATATTCACATGGGAAGGATTTATATCTACTCCCCACTCCCCATAATGTGTGCACAGGTACAAATCAAAGCTTTGCCCAAAGCACAAGATATAATAAAATCTTTTGTACAAATGCCTCTCAACTCTTAATCAGCTGGCATTAATTACATTTTTTGATGAGCACAAGAATTGATCAAATGATTCTCAATTTAAGAACAATGCCTAAGGCATATGCTTCCATCATTGCTTCAATGACTTCCATCAAAGGAAAAAGATCATAAGATTGCTGGGCATTTCCTGAGTATGGTGAGCCAACTGTCATGTGAATTTTGTGGAATGAAAAGGGTTTATTTTAGATCAAAGGTAAATGAAAGCAAGCAAACCAGAAAGGAATCCTTGCACCCCATCCCAAGGACACTACTATACAGGTTAGCATAATTACAATTACTTCAATTTCCAGTGCATATCATATTTCACAAAGGCTTGGGTACATGCGACAACCACCCTCATCACCAAAATATTATAAAACCAATTTGGTGGTTGGCAGTGGGAGGAATTATGGGAAGAAAAATCTGGTTATCATCCAATAGTATAATCTCTGATCATTCTGCCATCAGATAAGAAATTCTCTGTGTGCTTCATGGACTGAGGTATGAAAATTATAAATCAAATAGAATATGGATTAATAGCTTTTATGATACCTTCCTGCTACTTCCTGCACAGATGGTAATGCTATTGGTGTTAACTGTCTAGTCTTATGAGAAGGAAAGGTAGATTTCACTCTTTCCTGGGAGTTACTACTTGTCTGTAACACTAGAGGCTTCCAACTGGAAACGGATGCTTATTTTTGCCAGAGTTAATCTCTTATTTGATCAGTTAATGAGAGCTTTCAGCAATCTTACTCACGTTACCTCAGTAAAATACCAAGGTGTTTTTTCCACAGGAAATAAATGCCCACAGGCCATCAACTCAATCTGTTTAATAGCAAATATGGGAGAAGGGTGGGAGCATTCAGACAAAGGGCCACTTTGCAGTGATGGTAAAAGAGTTACACTGTCCTGGCAGCTGATAGTAACTAAGGCAGTGGTGGCAAACCTGTGGCACATGTGCCACAGCGGGCACCCAGAGCCCTCTGTCAGCATGCGAGCCAAACTGCCCCAACACTCCGAATGCAAACTTCCACCTTTCAATAAAAATCTGTACGTGTCACTGAAAGCTCTGTTATTGTGCTTTTCTTTTAAGACAAAAGATGTTAATGTGTGAGTTTTTTTTTTTTTCTGAATGAAACCCTCAGTGTTCAGGTTTAGTTGCAGCGTTAGGACTCTGATAAATAAGTGGTTTTGGGGTTGCAGTTTTGGCACTCGGCCCCAAAAGGTTCGTCATCACTGGTCTACAGTATCTGCTGGTATTGAAAGGGAGGAGAACTGCAGGAGGGACAAAGGTCGCTAAAAGCAGGAAATTCCACCTGTCTGATATCACCAGTTGTAGAAAGAGACTGAAGGATCTAACATGAAAAGCACTCATGGCCACAGGAGTACAGAGAGAAAAGGAAACGAGAACATATGCTACAGATCAAAGATCCCATCTGGAAAGTTTCTTCTTTCTTCACTGTCTTAGAAAAAGGCCAAAAAAAAAAAAGAGATAGTGTGTGGGTGTCCCAGAGAAAGGGCCCGGCACAAGACCAGAGCCAGAACGAAAGGTCTTTCTGACTCCTACTCCCCTCCCCCTTCCCAACCCCCTCTCTTTGTATGCACAAGAGCGCAGTAAGGCTCTCTAGCACAGAAATCCTATGATTTTAAAGACTGGCTCCTGAAACTTCTCCTAAGATTGCAGGGAAGACTGGGGCCAAAAAGTGAAGGGAATAATAACGGGTAATTGTACTGAGGGGCCAAAGCAAAGTGAACCATTCCCTCAACTTGAGCTTCACAGGGTTCGTGGTGATTTACCAACAGAAACTGAATGTGCTTGCGTGACCACAATTAATGGAGCATACGATGCAGCTTTTATAATATTTTTATATAGGAACAGACAATGATACAATTGTAAGTCAAGGAAGAAAAATTTTTTATACATTAATGTATTTAATGCACAATTTCAGGATGAGGGGCATATGCAGTCCTAGAATTTGTTATGATTTCTAAAAAGAACCCTTGGAGCTGAGTGTAGTATTGTATGCCTATAATCCTAGCAGTTTGAGAGGCTGCGGCAGGAGGATCACAAGTTTGAGTTCAGCCTGGGCAACTTAGTGAGACCCTAAAATAAGTAGAAAGAGTTGGGGTTTAACTCTGCAGAGTTTTGCCAAGTTTTGCCAAGTTTCCAGAACCCACAGTGAGGAAGTATTTTCATCTACTGCTTTGTGATTAATGACATAAAATCTACAACTTTAGCAGTTTCCTAGTGAGGCAGGTAGGTTATGTTATGAAAACAGCAAGTCTTACCAAACTAAGGCTGATTATAAAAATAAGAATGAAAATTATTTACCACGTTTTAGAAGAACCACTCTTTAGACCAATGATTTAGACAAACGTATTCTAAATGAACAGAAAGTTTTTAAAACTCCTGTTTCCTACATAGATAATTTTTATCTCAAAATTGCATATGAATTTTCTCTAACCTGTAAGAGACCATATATCATCTTACAAGCTATTCCCTAGACAGACATTGACCATCTGCTGGTGAAGGATTGCTGAACAAGAACATTACCTACACAACGGCATTAAAAAACCCTAAGCACCTGGCCACATTGGCTTGAAAAATACAGTGAATACAAGAATGGTACTCCTTGTTGAACTTGCAAAATTACTTTCATGTAAAATTTTAAATTCCATTAAGGATATGAGTCTTATGGGTTCTTTAACACTGTCTCCATAAGAAATAATTTTACCAGAGCTACAGTAATAAACCTGTAAGTAAAACCTAACTTTAGAATAGACAGTTACTTCATACTTGTTTGGGAGAACTAAACAGAAAACAGTGAAAAAACAAAATCAGACTCAAGTTTCTTAAAATTAGACTGACTTCCTTATGGTAAAAATATTTTTTTTATAAAATAATGGCATTTATAGACCAGGGATATAGCTCAGCTGCACAGCACCTGCCTGGCAAGCATGAGGTCCTAAGTTCAATTCCTGGCACCAAAAAAAAAAAAAAAAAAAAAAAATGGCACTTATAAAGGGGATTAGAACAAACAAGAACCTGTGACTGCAGACAGAAGAGCAAAAGCACAGTGAAGTTTGGGGTTTCTTCTTGGAGAATCTCTACATGATTCCAGCAGCACAAATAGTAAAGTTTAGGTTGAGGAGCCAGGGAACTCCCTGCCAGCTCCCGTCTACTTAGTCCCTGTGTTAATTAACCGTGGTGGAAACTCTAGAGTATGCCAAAATAAATGAATAAATAAACAGATCAACAAACAGACCGGACAGCATTTATAAAGTATTGCTTCTGGAAACAACTATACCTCTTAGCATCTAAGTCAACACCATCTTCACCATCTCCATAACGCCCTGTACAACTCCTACTTTTTCTGCTACCAGGTGAACTAATAGGTCTAGGAATTCCATTCCATTGCTAATTTCCCAGTCTCTGAACAGCGCAAGCAGCCTGGTAGTTCCTGAGTCACCCAAAGACAGCTTAAACATCTTAAACAAGCACTAACCTGGAGGTGCCTGCTGCTGAGGCTGAGCTGTGGTCTTCCCTGGCCCTAAGCTCTTTTCCGAAGTTTCCCCAGGTACCAAGTGAGGTTGGCCTGCTGTGAGGGAGGCCGCGCTGGCTCCTTTGGTCTCCGTGACCTCTGCAGAAGATGGTGGCTCCAATGTGTCAGGAGAGGAGGACTCAGAGAAGATACTGCTCTGTCTACCAGGAGAGTCATTAACAGCAGCTTCCCTCTCGCTGGGCAGTGGAGGGATCGGGAGGATCCTGTGATGCTGCTGAGGGCTGGGACACCTTGGATAGAGAGGCGAGGGAGCAGGTGGTGGCTGCTGGTGTCGCGGCTGCTGGGATGAATTATTAAATCCCATACCGGGAGCCACTGGTACTGAGGGCGACGGCCTCCTCTCATCACCTCTGCAGTGTGAGGAGTCAGGACCTGTAGTGCAGGGCAGATCCAGAAACAAGGATTTGTGGCCCCTTTGGGGCACCCCAGCCTTCCTCTTGCTTCTGGTTTCTGGGAGGCTATGGGTGGCCCTTGTATTGAGGGGGACACCCAGCCTCTTCCCCTGGGTGGCCCCATCTAACTTCTCACTCTCAATCACCTTCAGGAGGACCTTGTTCACAGCCCTGTCAGTGCTGGCTGACAAGCTAGAAACAGAGGCGCTTTCTCTGGCTGGTAACTGCGACGACCTGGCCCCTTGCTGCTTCTTGCTCTGCCACCTGGAACCATGAGCCCCAGCCTCAGCTCCTGGCAGGGTGAGCAAGTCCACCTTGCAGATAAATTCAGCTTTGACCTCTGGGTACACAGCAATCTTTTCCTCACCCTCAGGAGGCACATTAACTACTCTTTGCACCTGAGTGGACAGATCCTGGACCTTGGCCACCACTTTGGAAATAGGTCTCTTCCTGCAGGTCCGCTCAGCCAACTTCCCCAGGCCACCCCTCTGTGCTTCTGGATGCTTCTTAGCATCCTCCTGACTTTCAGGCAAACCTGTGTGCTGATGCTCCAGCCTGTGAGGCTTCCTGGGTAGAACTCGAACACCATCATCTCCTGCTTCTGTGGAGCTGCTTCGAGGGGGTAGTGCTCCTTTTCCAAGCCCAGTGTTCCCTGAAGCCATCCCAGAGCTCGCAAAGCCAAGGTCTGCATCTGGTGTCCTGGGGATATCTGCAGGGCAGCTTTCTCTCCTCTGCAGGGAACATGTAAGCACCCCATTTGGAACCAAGTTTCCTCTTTCCTCTAGGAGCCGAAGATTGAGCCGAGCTCCAGAAGGAGGAAGGCAATTGCTGGGACAGATCTGGTCCTTTCCCATCTGAGGAGTGGATTGCTGGCGTCCACGCCCTTTCCTTCTTGTTCTCTTCTGCACCTCAATGCTCTCTCTTCTTCCTTCAAACCTCCGGGGCTTTTTGTTCCCGTGGGTGCTCCTTTGAGTGAGAGGACCCGCAGAGGGCTCCCTCCACCAATTACCAGCACTCTGGGAACAGCTGTCCTCAGGAGCCACACTCACAGACAGCTCCAGCAGCTTCCCCTCCTGGTTCCCCATGGAAATGCCCAGGATGTGGTCTGAGCTCCGCAGATTGGCCAGCAGTCTCTCCCTCTCTGCTGTGAGTTTGTACAGCTCAGTTAGAATGTCTTTCGTGGTAGTCGGCTTGAAAAATATGTCGCCTGGAAGTTCATTCAGCTGCTGGCTGAGGCTGATGGTGTCTGACCCCTCCCTGACTTGGTAGCAGTTATGAAAACCTTTATTGGATCTGTCTAGAATTACGGTGCCCTTGTATGAAAATCCTCTGACTTCCCCCCTTGGAAGATAGAAGCTGATGTAGCAGAGTTCAGTAATGGGCTTACGCAATTGAAGGGTGCAGTGAGTGCCTTCCATTATGCCTACCTAATTATTCATGCCTTGGAGATGCCGGTCTGTGGTCAGGCTTCCCAGGCTCCAGTGGTGAGGCATGTGATGGTGACTACGCAGAGAAGGCAGCTGACAGTCATCTCCAGCGATGAGCCTGCCTGTTAGAGGAACAGGGGAAGAAAGCAGCTGTTCTAACAGAGTGCATAAATCATACACCAGTTTACATCAAAGTATAACCACGGCTTGTCCTTCCTCTCTAGCTGACTTCAACCAACTCAAGGCATCAGCCAACAGCCAGCTCTGCCCTCTTCCCTGCTCCCACTTCACCCCTGGCCAGCAGAGCCTTCCTACAACTCAGAGTTGGGGACAAGTCACCTCTTCCCCATGGGGACTCACCCTGCAGCTTGGATCAGGTCTCTCAACCTTGCTAGGCGACAGTTTACAATCTGCTCTGAAACAGCTATCAGCCTTCCCAGAAATCCTGAGGAAGTGGGCTGGGAGATCCTTAGAAAGCCTAGCTGTTCAAATACCTCATGTTTGGAAGATTACTTTGGAAAGATGAGTCAACCCTTTGTACCCTTCGCAAAGCACCTTCTAAGATTTAAGATTCAGTATCCTTTCAACTTAAAGCACAGCGGTGGAAAGAAAGGTTTTAGACTACAACCATAAAGTTAAAGTGAAAACTTAAATTCACAAATTTAAAATTTAAATAAGTAACTCAGGAAGATGTTTAACCAAGCTCTGTTAGGTTTGGTTTTGGTTTGATTTTTGTACTGTTCTCTTTTTTCTACTTTCTTGCCTGTTTGCAGCCAAGTGGAATAACAGAGAAAAATACTTTTGGCACACATGGGTTTTTAATGAGTTCACCAGAGAGGTGGTTGAAATGTTCCACACTCAGTGAAGGTAGCTGCTTGCTCATGTGATTCAAGGGGATCTCAGAAATGTCTACCTATACACATAACATGAGGCTTAAAATTCTGTATTACAATACTTCATTTCTTAAATTCTTCAAATCTTCTTCACTTAAAATAAAGCCCCCTGGGAATGGTAACAGAATAACAGAATAACCATCTGTTAATCACTGTTATCATTAGTGAGTTCATCTCAGATTTTTTTCTACATAGTTGTAAGTAAGAAAAAGTTACATAAAAGTACAATTTTTTGTTTGCTTTTTGTCCTTTTGAGACAGGGTCTCACTATGCAGTTCAAGCTGGCCTTGAGCTCACTTTGTAGCCCAGGCAGGTCTCAAACTCACAACGATTCTCCTGCCTCAGCCTCCCAAGTGCTGGGATTACACGCATGGGCCACATTTTGAACGGAGAAAAATTTTGAATTAGGAATTCCTTGATGGAGACAGATGAAACTAAAAATGATAAAATGACAGTTTAAAAAAAACAAGTCAACATCTGGTCAACCCAGAGATACCAAGAGGGTTCAGAGTTTATAAAATTTCAAGTAGGAATAATACTGCATTTTCTAAAAGCCTCCTTGCTAAGAGAGAGAATTCTTAAATTTTGAATATATTCTGACATACACCTCCATTTTGTTTTCTCATTCTATTTTTCTAATTTTGCTTATTTGATTGTTTGTTTTGAGACAGTATCTCAGTATGTTGCCCAGAACTGCTTCAAACTCAAAATACTGCCAGCCTCCTATCTGGCTGGGATTATAAGCCTGCACCATCACACCCAGCTTTTCTCTAACATTTGTTAGAGAAACGGTTAGAAGAACATGAAGAGGAGACACACAGAAGAGATCAGAAACGAGCACAGGCCTTGATTTCCCTTCATATGTATAAGAGACTATTCTAATCCAGTTGATCATGAGTTTAAATCCTCTCCAAGATGCTTATTCTTGATACATCCTAAAGATATTCATGTAGGTATCTTGGTGTAGGTATTTGATAATCATTGGTACAAACTCTCTGGATATATCCAAGAACTCACTTGAAAGTTGGTCTTTTGTTATGTGATTTACAGAAATCAGGTATAAAAGTAACAAAAGAGCTGTCAGTATCTACCATGTACGATCCTGACCATTTAGGATCAAGAGTTCAATTTATGAATTCTCAGGAAAGCTGAATGGAAGCAACAGATGTGCATTCTGAATTGTGGCAAGACAGGATGCCCTCCGCTATCCTTGAGCATCACTCTCCCCTACCTACTTTTACCTCCTTAATTTCCCTGGATTAGGGAAGTGTGTGATGTGGGGAGAAAAGCTGAGTAAGCATTGTTCAGAATCTGTTTGAAGTAGCAATATAAAGCATATGCCATAATTTCAAACAGGAAACAATTGTTCTAAAAACCTGTTCCCTAAGAGGGAATTCTCGTATATGAAGTATATATACACATACATGTTCACCTTGTTATCTCATTTAATCAGCACATCATTATTTTACAGATGAGGAAACTGAAATTAAGAGATGTCAAGCAACTTGTCTAAGATGACAGGGCTCAGAAGAGGCAAGTTTGGAAGTTGGGTCTGTCTCACTCCATTGCTTCACAGGTGATGTTACTCCTCATCTCATCTCCTGTGTTCTATTGATGAACTGATTTTCCAGGCAAGTTGAACAGGAAAGTTCCTTTATTTTGTTTACCTGGTGTCACATAATTTATCTCACAGTATCTCATATCTTGCTACTTAAAACATTCATTGGATAGCTTCTGAATGTCTGACTGGATAAAGTATTGCTCCCTAAGTTTATCCCTTAAACAATAAGGCTTAGGAAATGGTACTAAAATTCACTGAGTCTGGAAGTAAAAACTGTAATTGTCAAGTAGAAGCCAATGAAGACTCTGGAGTTAGAAATTAAGGAGAAGAGGCCTCTTATAAAGTTCAGGCCCTTTGTGAGACTGCAGACCTGTGGTCCTTTATCAGAGCATTAAACAATTTTTTCCAAGTCTTGGTTTTATTAATGGAGAAAAAGTCATAGTACTCTATATATCAGTCACAGTTGGGAAACTCAAGCCAAGGTTTAAGAAATTCTGATGTTGTATTTTATAGCAATAAACCCATAATACAAAGTATGAAGCTACTATTATGAAAAAAAAAAAAACTTCAGAGTATTGCCTTAGCCACCCAGAAACTTTTTTTTTTTTTTGGTTTTTCTCCGATACCGGGAACCAAACTCACGACCTTGCACTTGCCAGGCAGGCACTTTTGCCGCTGAGCTAAATCCCCAGCCCCAGAAACTTTAATTTAGAATTCTCTTACCATATTTGTGGTACCTGTGCCTGCAGCCAAGGAGGAAACTTAGTTCACTAGTCCAACTTCTTGTCATGTACATTGTTCTGTCTCTAAAGTCTAACTCCAAAATTTTTCAATCAGTCTCAGCCAGCTGAGATCAGAACCAACATCTTGGAGGTCAGTGTTATATTATCAGTGGCTCAAAGCTTCCATAACATAAAGAAGCCTCTCTTCCTCCTGCTTTTTTTGTTTGTTTGTTTGTTTGTTTTTCTCCGGTACCGGGAACTGAACTCACGACCTTGCGCTTGCCAGGCAGACGCTTTGTCACTGAGCTAAATCCCCAGCCCTTCCTCCTGCTCTTGATAGTACCAGGAGTGACATGCAAAGAAATATGAAGAAACATTTTTCAAATTCTTTTATGCCCCTATTCTTTTCCATAGTTAGAAATTATTTTTATCAAACTGCTAGTACACACCTTCACTATCACCAATGAATTTTTAGAGCTGCCTCCAGAGCATGGAATAATTAAATTCCTCTCTCGTCAGTCAAGGAAAGACTGTCAGAATTCAGCTATCAGCCTGCTTCTCCTGACATCTCTGCCAATGTCTGCATCTGGATATATGGCCCTCAGGCACTCTCTCCCTTCTGAATTCCTGACCTGTAAGGAACCAGAAATTGTAATCTCTAAATTTCCAACATATTAGCTGAAAATATTATTTAATGTCATTTGCTAAATTGACTATGAAAAGAAAACCTCCCTATTGGGAGAAGAAAAAAAATGAATCTCAAAAACAAATGAATTTCAACCTCAAGCCTGTAGGAGCCATCTAGGAAAGCTTTAGGGCAGGGTGAGTTTTTGCTGCAGTGCTGAATCACCACTCATTTCCATCTAAACACCAGAGGGAAATGATGTGAAAGCCTTAGAGGAAAAAAGCAAAGTAACTAGGAAAGCAACGTGGAATGGGTTAAACACACCAGCACTACCATTGCATGCTGAGTTCACAGGGCTGCTCCAGGTAGCATTTCCACATTGTGCTTTGGCTCCAGTGCACCAGCTCCACAGGACACACACATAAAATTATACACCTTAATTTCATCTGTGAAATGACCTCCTCTGCTTGTGCCCAACCTAAATCACTTTGTTTCCTGGGAGTCTTCATGTCTTCAATTTCCTCTCACAAACTCAGGCTGACATTCTCTCCACAGCAACACTACTGGGGTGATTTATTCCCTGATCCCTTTTCCCCCTAAGCAAGAAGATTATCCAAAATGGAAATATCTGCTGTGGCTCTAATAGTGGGAAATGATTGCCTTTCAGTAGATGTTATCACGTGTTCATAACATATTTCATAAGTGCCTAAAATAAGACCTCAGAATTAGCTGCAGTTCTGTCTGCTGGCTGTACGTTTCCTAACTGACTCTGGCCCTGAATGGCCAATACAAAGCTTTCTCTGCTCAGTCAGGGCACAGTCAATCCCTAGACTCCATCAAGCCCAGTAGTGCTGCGATAGACTACCCGTAACTCATATTTTTGAACCATAAGTTCTCTATTTGTCCACTCATATTCATGCTTTATCCTCTGACATCATTCTAAGGATCAGGAGACTGACTTTTATAGACTCGATCAACATATTCCTTGCTATCTGTCATCTACTGCATTTTACCATTGGGAGACAATAGTAGCAGACTGCAGGACAGAGTAGAAGAGAAGTGAGGATCTCTGTTTCCTGGTTGCCTCCCTCTTGGACTCTGGTTTGCTGCAGGTGAGCCCTTTGATAACTACCACAGCTCTTCTTGGGTAGCCCCTCCAGCAGCAGCTACTTTCTCTGGGTACCTGTTACTGGTCACTCCCCTCACTTACACCGTATGAGATGGCTTTGAAGTTTGTCTCTGTTGTGGTTAGAACAAGTTAGTGCCTGCCTGTCTCCTTTCCATCCATCCCCTGGGATGAAGCACAGAGCTGTTGTTTTTC